TTTCTTCTGTACATACGTGTGGAATTTTGTCCAATTTAATTTGTTTTTTTTTTTGGTTTGTATTACATTAATACCAGATTCCGCAGTTTATTTTTCAACACGCACCTAGTTGTTATCGCTGAACTATATAATGAAGGTTTTGCATTTTGCCGAGAGCTGATTAGACACCCCGACGCACCGGTTCATTGCAGGACAATAAAAGCCAACAATTTTAGTTTCGCATTGGATGTTATCACATTACCATTTCATAAATGATATTGACAAGCATATTGACTTGCAAATTTTTTTTCATAATTTTCTAATTTACGCTTGTCGCTCAAAAAGATTTTGGACGTAGTTGTGGAATCGTTTGAATTTTCACTTGAATATCCAGTGTATTTTTTTAGCTGTGGTGGAGTATCTTAAGAGTTAGTCTCGATTGTCATGTTGAAAGAGTTATTATTGGCCCCCAATGACGTGTGAAACCTGTAGAAAGCTGATAAGAAGCAAGTCAATATTTGAAATATAATTCTTATCATTAGTATAATATTAATTTAAAACGATGATATTGACATTGACATGATATCAATAGTTTGAGAATAATTACATAGAATAATATTGGAATAATCAAAAGACACGCTTCCTCCAGACAAGTTATTATGGATAATTGTTTTATGACATTCATTATCACATCTCAATGATATTGAATCTACCTTTTCTCCATTTTAAAAGAATTTTGGTGTTTTCTTTTCAAACTATTTGGCTAAGCCGTATATACCGATGGCCTCACTCTGCGTTCATTGTCGCTGGTTGTTTTGCCCCGAAAACTTCCCAAAGGAAAGATGTGGCAGCGTAGAGTATTACAGCCTATTCATAATATGTGTTACATTGTCAAATGGCAAAAGATATTAGTGTGCCTTTATTCAATCCTGGCGATTAATATCTGTTTTTCGTAATCATTTCATAGCATTGTATTTTATTGTTTAGTTTTCTGTTTGCCTTTAAGCATATTTTATTCGTTTGGTTGATGTTTGGCTGAAAAGTTTCACGATCGGATGATCATCTGAATATTAATTGGTAGTAAATACTCTGAAGTTGACTTCAGAAATTTTATTCTAAAGCTAATTTTATGATCAGCTATAAAATATTGCTGGTGGCTATTTTTATTAATTAATTAAGGTTTGTGAATAATATTGATTGGTAAATGTCTATCTTGATTGATCACCTATTATTTCTAACTTTCATTTTCAAATATTATCCGCGCCAAGAAAACGCCTTTTACGAGTAACGACCATATTTTTACGTCTCATTTCTAAGGTGTATTGAAAGGGGTTCGATTTCTCTACAAAGATGAACTGTGTTTAAATTGTTAATTTATGGTAATTTCTAATGTTAAAAGCATTAAAGCGTTTAATCTCTCGAGAAATTAAAAAGCATTGTTATCATGTAACCGATATTGATTTAATATTTCCCAACTGAATATTGAAATAGAATATTTCTCGAGTTTTTATCGAAAACGATTTTATAGATTATAATACCTTGATTTAGCGATACTTTCTACGATAATAGCGTTTACTGTACTGATGAATATAGCTATAAAATGAATTTGCAAAACAAAGAACACATAAGACCGTTCTCGCATATTTAAATTGTGGAATACGCTTCGATTTTTTTCCTATTTCAATTGCATGTGTGTTTTATGTTATTGAGTAAATGTTACGAAAACGTGAATAGGAAACAGAAAATAGTTTCTTTAATTAATATAGTTCCGTTGATTGACATATCCTAATTAAACATAATGACAAGACTGGTACAAATATAATGTCACCTTATATCACTCTTCGTTTTAATAGACATTTAAACTCAGTACACCTAATAATTATAATGATAAAGTTAAGATTGGTGCAAGATTTCGTGCATCAAGGACCCGTATGCACGTGTAAGATTGACAGCGCCACCTGTAAGGGAAGTAATGAAACGAAAAGATGTAAGTTTCAATTACCAGGAAATAAAATGAATGACATGAAACATATTCCGTGTAAAACTAATTTTCTAATGATATTGTTGAATTTATGTAGCAGTTGGTCGAACATGATCTCGCTAATTAAGTGACGAGAGATTACGAGAAGACAATGAAATCGAGACTGTCTCATTTACATAATTTCGTCGTAAATTTTATCAAGAGTGATAGAGAATCAAGTTGCTCACGAACGTTGTACTTCCGGTTTCAATCATCTGCTTACTGGAAATGCGCCAGTCGTAGAGGTACCTTATTTATATTTTTTAATTCGATTGATCTAGCTGAACTTTCAATATATCTATAGCTAACACATTTGTCTCTATTACCGATTATAAGTTATCTGACACAACGACATTAAATACGGTTTACATGTCACAACATCTATACTTTTATATTGAATTTCAATGTTTATATACACTGTATGATTGTATTGTACTTAGCCACCCAAGATGAATTATCTGATGTACCATATCTTGTTCTACACCCACCCCACCCATATAGCACCTGTCGTTTTTAAGTGGATTACCTGTCTATTCACCTTCAGGTATCCACTTCATATGTTTGTTTTAGGACTGAGGTAAATCTGCTGTACACGCGTGTTAATCTACCTTTAAGAGCTCTTTGTCAATATGAAACCACAATCAAGCATGAAATTTGATACCATTATGCAAATGAGCTGTCAGGATCTTTTTCAACTTGCGAGGTGGGTAAACAATGCAATCACCTGAATCGCTTTGAAGTAGCCGACGTTAACAGGTAATCGATGAAACATTTAAGCCTAAATATCTGTACAAGAATTAACCATGTAGAAACGATATTGTTGTCGTTTCAATGACGTTTGGCGGCAGAAGTAGAAACCATTATACGGAGCTAACTTTCTCCATTGTACGAAACTAACATAGCATATTGTACGAAACTATTAAACTATGGCTCAGCATGAAGAAATCAATAAATTATGATAGAGTCATTACGTGAATTAGATTTTCAATTCATTCATACTTTGAACAATTATCATTAAATCTGTAACTGGAAAGTCAATAGATAGTAGGAATAAAACAACATTTGTTGAAATGATATCCTCTATTATTTTTAACAAGCCGTAATTCATGGTTTGTTTACACTAGACAATAATAAATAATGCCTTTGTTTATTAAATAAATAGTAATGTTTTAAGACATTAGCTTAGTATTGAATCATTTTCTTAGAAATTCCACAAAAGATTCCGGTAATTCCTAACGCAAGAAAATTCTCGACAAAGATGAATAATATGGTTTGAATAAAGACTAGTGTAAAACACCACAATAATAATGTTGAACATAAAGAACTTTACTTTGTTTAGCACTGTAACTAATTACCATAAAATTATGATTAGAATTCAATACAATAAGCTTAATGTCGCTAACCATATGTCTTCATTTTTAATACATTAAGGTATGGACAGATCTACGAAATTTGTATGATTGTCCGCCAAGAAGCCCGGCTTCCCAGTGTACCAATTGAGAAATTAATACCATATTTTCCACAGCAAACACTCATGCTAAAGGTATAAAGCAATAATACGAGTGATTATTTGAAAACGGACTCAAAAGGGGTTGGCTTATCCTGGATTGTTGATCAGGGTCACTTCAGCCAATATCATTTTGCGTCATTCAGATTTCTCTTCATGTTTTTGGAACTCTACAAAAAACTCTTTCAGAAAACATGTATCGAATCCCTTTAAACAATAATAATGTTAATGTAATTCGTCTAGAGAGCAAACTTTTTTATTACCGTTTTCAAACTATCATGTTGGAAATTGTTGACAATAATGATGATAAAAGTGTTATATTTATACTTTTTATTGATAGTTTAAAAATTTAATCTGTGATGTCGAAGATAACGGTAGTGTATTTGAAATGTATCAAGTCAAAAGTATTCTTTAATTGATTATGTTTCCGAAATCATATCGTTGCTGTTATTCGGGTTTATTTATGATATCTTGAAAGTATTAATCGATATGATCGAATAATGTTAAAATGGTCAGTTTGTACGATAAATTTTAGAAAAACGTGACTCAAATTCTTCAAAAAATATGTCTTTAGGTGGGATAATATTAATGGCGAATTATTATGATTATTGATATATTAGATCCTACTATTTAATTGTTAAATGATTGTTTGATTCTGGAAACATCAAAGCGCGAGTGTATGTCAATAACTTATATGACTGACAGAACTTGACAATGAATTACCACTGGGCAAATTGGCTTTGCAAATAAATTAGAACAATTTACTAAGATGCCTTTGTTTTAATAGCCGCACCCTGACGTGTAGATGATCGATCTGTTCATTGATATATAGACATTTTACTTATATTATAATATATATTTTAATACAAAATTTTTTTTTGTGTTGATTATAACATAAAGTTATTATCGATCGTAAGAACATTTTTAAAATTTTAAAAGTAAATGTAAAATATAGACGTAGCATAATTGTTTTGAACGTTATATTAAGCTAGATTATCAGAAAGGTCTTTGTAGTAAGAAACCTTCTGGAATAGTAGATGAAATCTACCTGTATAGAAATAACCTGAAATCTTAGATAAACAATATGTTTGATCATCTTTTAAGGAAACCTCAGCCAAAATCGTTCATCAATTCTGGAAGATCGTTCTTCCCAGAGACATCAGTGGTCATTGAGGTCAATTAGAATGACCATAACCAAATATCACCAGAAAGTGATGGAGGAGGTATCCTAGTCCTAGAATTAATACTGTAAAATGCAGACGAGACACAAGTAGTGACTTTGATGTATGACTACAGATCAAATTCTAACACATTTTCTTCTCAATACTCAATTAATGATGCATATAATCTTAGGTCAGACAGTCAAAATCGGGGTCACGAATTAATCCTCGACTCCATCATCGTGTTCCTAGATTGAAAAGGACACGAGGTGAATTAGACACGCTCCGAAGTTTTTGTATTGTTTTAAGAAAGATTTTTTGTATATTTTCAGCCGGAAAACCTGGCGAATATGGATATACACCACCGTCGACTGCAGCGCCACAAACAGGACCAAATTCAGGAAGAACAAATTTTACTAATAAGCAGTTAACAGAATTAGAAAAAGAGTTCCATTTTAATAAATATCTCACACGAGCTAGAAGAATAGAAATAGCTGCATCTTTAGGTCTCAATGAAACACAAGTTAAAATTTGGTTCCAAAATCGACGAATGAAACAAAAGAAGCGCATGCGTGAAGTCCAGTTTGAAAAATCCGGTGTAGACACATGCCAATTGACATTAGATGCTTTAACTGTGCCAAATTTAGCCATGTGTCATGATACACGATAAAGTGAAACTTGTATTTATTATGTTTCTTTTATTAACTTTTTGGTTCGTCAGAATCTGTGATTTAAATTCATTGAAAAACCTTGATAATGCTGTGGATTCAGTGGTGTTCTCAACTAAAAGATGTTTCCACTTAAGCACGTTTAAGAGTTTTGTTTCTAAACATTTCCTTAGTTTTAGAAAATATGGATTTGGTAATAAAAAGTGAAACTTCCCTGAATTTTTTCCCTCTAATTTTTTTTAGACATTCCATTTTTTTATTCACAATTTTAATTAATGGAACTCTTTCGACACTTTTATGTGCACACAATTTTGTTGAGTTTCAGATCTGTTATTTCTTAAAAGAACTGCCTTATTATTTATTTTATATGATTCGGGATAAATTTTCACGTGGATTTGAAAGTTCAGTTTGATCGTGTTCACCAACCATTTCACACACGCTAATACATCATTAGATTGTAAATAAATGTAAGAAATGTGTATTTCTCTTTGAAAAAAAATAAATTACCCTGATCTCGATTGACAGATTAAAGAACAATCACATCATGCATCATTCTTGCGTCTGAATTTTCTTGTTATCTTTCGAGGATTCTGTTTCGTGTTTTTAAAAATGTTTACGATTGAACAAGCACTATTTCTGTGGAATTTTTATACTTTGCTGACCTTCAGAAGTTTTGGGGTTAGTAATTTTACCATGTGTTTTCAGTGTGTTTTATTTACCAATGCTGTTCCGGATATGTTCAAAATGTTGTTCAACAGGATTTCAGTCCGAGTATGGTGGGTCTGAAACAGACACCCACCATTAAATATATTCTCATCTCCAATACATCATATCATCCGATAACAATTGCTGAGAAGTCTATTTGTTTGTTCTATTATTTATTTGTTTTCAAGGATTTCCAGACCTCATTATGAAGGCTAATTGAGTCTCTATCTAGTCTTATCACTATCATTATTATACAATATTTGAAATGAAGTGCTAATATTATTATGAATTCTCCCATGTATTCTAATTATGTTAAAAACATAGTATTTATTGTTTGTATATAAATTGCTCAATGACTGAATAAATATTTCATTTGAAATAAAAATTTCTTTTACTTTTTTAAGTTTTCGTTTCGTTTTGATATAATAAAATCTGTTCTGAAATTTATTCTCGTCAACATATATTTACATCAGTTTTGATCAATCCTACTGTAGGCCTATGTCTAATATGAGCTAAGTTGTAATAAATAATAATTAATGAACATTGTTTAATTGCAGGTATCATGAGTTGGCAAACAGTTTTTACCAAGTTTTTTGTCAAAGCTTTTCAAATATTTTACATTATTTTGACATTTTCTCTAAAAAAAAAACCCCTAATATAGTTATATTTTCATTCTGTCACACTTTTCACCAGGTATACATAACTTTTTACCCTACGTTATTGGTTATTTTTTTAAACATCTTCACTAACACTTCTTACTCACATTTCTAAACCTATGAAAAAATATTTAAAAATATATATAAATGTGATACATAGATATATAGTTTACGAATAAAATATTAAACGTAATCAAAAAACAACTTCAAATACCTCGTATATTAACTTGAGACATTACGTGACATCCTCCAAGGGCAAATAACATGAACTTCTGTTAATCAACTAAATATTTATATCTTAATATTAACCTTGAATACCATCTTATCTATTCGTAAACTAACTAAGTGAACTTTCCAAATTTCCAAAGTTCAAATTGGTAACAGTGTTATTGAAGAATGAGCTTGCCCTTCAAAACTTTTTCCGAAATACGAGATCACGTGTCCAAAAATAAAAAGATTTTCATATTTAGTTGTGTTCTGTAGAGTACTACGCGACGATCTAAACATTAAAATGCTTGGTGTTAGTTAAAAAAAACAATTGATGAAAGCACGTTGCACCCTACTGGCAGATAAACGGTGACAATGTCAATCAAAACAGTTTGATCTGAACCAAGTCAGAACGAATTGGTTACAAATTGTCAGTCATAATCCAATCTGCCTTCAAATATAATAATATAACTATCAGGAGTCATTAGATATAATTAGACAAATGAATTTATTGTTTGCCCTAATAACGACGTGTCATTTATATTTAACACTAAAGTGACATGAAGAAAACTGGTCTCAGTAGGGTGTCAATAAGAGTTAGCATTCAAAAGTGGGGAAGTTAAACTGACAGCGGACTTTAAATTGATTTGCTATACTACCCTTATTGCCAAAACCGAGGCACGGCATTTAAAATTGTGAGTGATCAGAGAAACGTAGTTTCCATCAGAAATAACTGTAATATTACAATCAGGCATACTCTAGTTGACCCATTAAATTCACGTCTTGCATTTGAAACCCTTCTTAATCAGTTGGTCCGATGTATAAACCGTGTTCTTGATTTTGGTGTTCAAAATATATAGTTCAGCTTGATGTTCAGGTGATATTTGTCTAAACCTAAAGATGGTTTATGGATGTGTGGCAATTACTAAGCAAACTAAACAGACTTCTCAGTATCTCATTCTGTGGTTTGAAATCCTCATTACAAGTTAATAGAAATGTCCAGCATCTAACTGGTATAATTACAGTCACGATGATAACTGCCAATTTTCTCACAATTTCTGGTATGAATATCATATCACTGACGATAGAAATAATTTCAGCTTGGAAAGACTGTTATTTTCTTTAAAGATACTCCAAGAAGGTTCTAAAAACTATGTGGGTGTAAAGTAAATGAACTTTTGAAAGAAACTCTTTTGTTTAGATGCCAATGCGCATTGGTCAAATGCACTCTTTAGTAGAAATATATGATCAAATAGAAATACATGGTGAAATCATGGTCAATACGCTCTTAAGAAATAGATGGTGAAATACACTCTTTAGAAATGGATGGTCAAATGCACTCTTAAGAAATGGGTGGTCAAATACACTCTTTAGAAATAAATAGTCAAATACACTCTTTAGAAATAGATGGTCAAATACACTCTTTAGAAATACATGGTCAAATACACTCTTTAGAAATAGATGGTCAAATACACTCTTTAGAAATAGATGGTCTTGCACGAGTCCGATAGCGAACAAGTACCGTGAGGGAAAGTTGAAAAGAACTTTGAAGAGAGAGTTCATCCGATACAATTTTAGATCCAAATCGTGCTCAGACCAATCATCAATGTATTAGTTACTCAAAATTCAAACAGGATCTTTCACAAAATCAAAGTTCAATCAATAGATGGTCAAATACAATCGTTAGAAATAGATGGTCAAATACACTCTTAAGAAATAGATGGTCAAATACACTCTTTAGAAATAGATGGTCAAATACACTCTTTGGAAATAGATGGTCAAATACACTCTTAAGAAATAGATGGTCAAATACACTCTTTGGAAATAGATGGTCAAATACAATCTTTAGAAATAGATGGTCAAATACACTCTTAAGAAATAGATGGTCAAATACACTCTTTGGAAATAGATGGTCAAATACACTCTTTGGAAATAGATGGTCAAATACACTCTTAAGAAATAGATGGTCAAATACACTCTTTAGAAATAAATAGCCAAATACACTGTTTAGAAATAGATGGTCAAATACACTCTTTAGAAATAGAAAGTCAAATAAACTCTTTAGAAATAGATGGTCAAATACACTCTTTAGAAATAGAAAATCAAATACACTCTTTAGAAATAGATGGTCAAATACACTCTTTAGAAATAGAAAATCAAATACACTCTTTAGAAATAGATGGTCAAATGCACTCTTAAGAAATAGATGGTCAAATACACTCTTTAGAAATAGATGGTCAAATACACTCTTAGAAATAGATGGTCAAATACACTCTTAGAAATAGATGGTCAAATACACTCTTTAGAAATAGATGGTCAAATACACTCTTAGAAATAGATGGTCAAATACACTCTTTAGAAATAGATGGTCAAATACACTCTTTAGAAATAGATGGTCAAATACAATCTTTAGAAATAGATGGTCAAATACACTCTTAAGAAATAGATGGTCAAATACACTCTTTAGAAATAGATGGTCAAATAGGTCAAATACACTCTTTAGAAATAGATGGTCAAATACACTCTTTAGAAATAGATGGTCAAATACACTCTTTAGAAATAGATGGTCAAATACACTCTTTAGCAATAGATGGTCAAATACACTCTTAAGAAATAGATGGTCAAATACACTCTTTAGAAATAGATGGTCAAATACACTCTTAGAAATAGATGGTCAAATACACTCTTAGAAATAGATGGTCAAATACACTCTTAGAAATAGATGGTCAAATACACTCTTAGAAATAGATGGTCAAATACACTCTTTAGAAATAGATGGTCAAATACACTCTTTAGAAATAGATGGTCAAATACACTCTTAAGAAATAGATGGTCAAATACACTCTTTAGAAATAGATGGTCAAATACACTCTTAAGAAATAGATGGTCAAATACACTCTTTAGAAATAGATGGGCAAATACAATCTTTAGAAATAGATGGTCAAATACACTCTTAGAAATAGATGGTCAAATACACTCTTAGAAATAGATGGTCAAATACACTCTTAGAAATAGATGGTCAAATACACTCTTTAGAAATAGATGGTCAAATACACTCTTTAGAAAAAGCTAGTCTAAAAGAGTTGTACAGTTCTATCGATTCTCGTATATACCATCATTGCACTGCTAAACCAACAACATGTCAAATAACGACATAATCTTCTTAAAATAATAAAAATACAGTAATCGCAAATCACCTCACAGTCTTTCCATAATGTCAGTACACGGCATATTTTACTGCCAATCATTCACTAAATAGAACATTTCATTTACATCAAAACATATTGATGCGTTTTAGTGTCATCCATTGGAGTCTGAAGTCCAACAGCCCCAATGCAATAAGTACTCTGACGAAGGCCGCGAAGCAAATCATGGGTTTTTTTTTCAGAACATCTTGTTGCTTTTCTGCAGCAAGGTCAACTCTCTCGCAAAGTCTTTGTAAGTCAAAGTAATTGGACAGTACCACCTGATGGAGCTATATCATCTATTTATGGAACTTAAAAAAAACGTCTAGTTCGACTATAATTAAGTGAAGAATGGAAGGAACAATACTCACCTATGCTGATAGTACCCGTGACGTCCTGATATAGTGTATAAGGGAACGTTAAAACATAACCCGAATACATAGAATTCAGTACGTTTTTATCAAATTGTAGAGAAACCAGGAGTGAAAATCGATTGAGATCGAACATAAGTATTTAGACAACTATAGGTTAACGATTGCTTACATAACTGATTGTTGCAACAATTGCTGAAAAGTAGTAAACGACATTCATCCGATAAAATCAAAATCAAAGTTCAATCAAATAATTCAGATTTATTTAGAAAGGTGTGGTTTAAAGAGTATTCAAGGAGGAAACAATACATATTGCGCTCTTACTTCCGTCAACCTATCAAGCAAATATGCCAAGTTGGCTCAAAAACATTGTTTAGTTTTCCATTTTGAATCTACAAGTGAACCGATAATTTTCTTTTAGAATATCCATGATGTACTTATCGGAGGCATCTGAATTTAAGGTTTTGCGCAACAGAATGTTTTGCTCAACAAAAGTTTACGCCTTACACATTAATCCCAGCAAGACTACAGTTAAGGCAGGGGAGAGACCGAGTAGTCTATGGATATTTCAAATTAGATTAATGCTGATCAAAGGTATTGTAACATATATAGAAATCCGATTAACCAAATCTACAGATATCATACGACAGACTTTGTAAATTTTCCGCTGAAATGTATTTATTCTAGCCCAATATCTTTAAAAAATTATTATAAAATATATTCAGGGTCTGGATCTTTTCCGGCGTTCATCCCTAAATATCAGCGGTCTCTGCTTGTGGTATAACATCCAGGGAGTGAAAATGAACAATATTTCGCACGTTGTGTGGACAATTAATACAAGTTATACATACACAACTACACTACTTGACATCTCTTGCTTACTCATTCTACAGGTAACTTACTTATTTACCGTAAAATATAAACAGACACAGGTGACAAGTGATGACAGCTGACACTGGATATAAACTGGTCATTCCCACGCTCAACTTTATGTTGTTTTATGAGCAAGCAACAACTTGTCTTGTTAACAAAGTTTTCAGAAGTAAATAAGTGCATTCTGAATATTTTTTTCAACAACAGAATGCGCACTTGCTAACTCATATCGTTTTGAATATTTTGGGTCAGAGCTAACCAGAAAACAGCATTGTGACAACCGATCATCTAATTATTAGTTATAAAAACGGCAGTGTAAACTGCGCAGTGTATGTTGAGGGTAAATTTGCTTTATCAGTCGATATTATCTACCCATTGCTTTTTAATCAGTTACTTTGGATTGCACATTTGTAAAGCACCAAATGGTAAAACCGATTAGGGTAAAAATGTTTGCATAACCAACGCTTCATTCGATGTCTCGTTCAATTGATGTCAACGAAAGACTTTCGAGGGGAATCTTGTAAGTATTTTAACTTCCCATCCTTATTACAATGTCAATGGACAGGATTAACATTCTACCGATCACTCATCACTCTAATCGCAAAAAAGACTAACAGCAATCTGACCAAAAAGACTAACAGTTGTGGAAGATGATAGAAAAACAATAGTAATTTGAACAGTTTAAAGTGTTTGTTATTAAAAAGAAAAGCTATGATTAGTATTAAGAAGGTGTAAGAAGAAGATATATGAGGTGGGTAAAGAATCAGAAGAGTTAATTGTAAGGTTGTCGTTAGTTTGAACTGGTAGTCACTGTAATTAAAGGTACTCTCACACACTGACTACTAGTTACATGTGTCGCTATGATGAATGGTCTATGACCTCCAACCACACTCGTGTTATAATTTGTGCCCTTTCCAGATGCAAGCGGGATTAAAGTTGGCCCAGTAGACGAGAGAAACGACTTCCACAATTATACCTCATTTATCATTGCCTTCAACCTGCCACCGTTTTCCTGGAGTCATTGACAATGCTAACACACGATACAGGAGAATTTCAGACTACTTCAAGAAATCAATGGAACTGAGAAAATTAAATTCTGAAAATTTTATTTCTTTTGTGATGTGAAGTAATTCCATTTTTAATAATATCTGTGTGTTCTGCAGATTAATATACCTTTCCTATCTTTGAAAAGATATAATAAAAGGGAGATAACCTTAGTTCTGGATGACAACATTCTAATGTAATTTAATACCACGTCTTTTATTAATCGTCAGTATTTTATTATCTCTAATCCTCTTTATTAACGACAAGAAATTATGTAAAGGGCGTATTTAAGAATAATGAGAAAGAATTGAAGGCTGTGTAACTGTCAAACAGTATTAACTAGTACTGATTGAACATTAATTCACCATTCCGCCTTCAATAATTCCTACATAACAACGCGGCCTCTTTGATCGTTTTCAATTTTTTGTCTGAAAGAAAATATGTCAATATGGAAGGAGACGAAAGGAATTGATAGTTTCGCTAACCCCAGATCTGCATACCCCTGTCAGAGAATGATAAATTACCACACAAAACACGCACTTCTAATTTTCTCCCGTGACGTGTGGAATTTACCATCAAAGCGATCCGATGTGTTTTTGGTATTGCTGCCAGCTGAATTCATATGACCTATTTTCATTTCTAACACAATTTTTTCAACTCTCAAAATCATCGAAATTGGAATGAATATAAGGCACGAAATGTAGAAAATATACTTATTTCCATTTTGCCAAAAAAAAAAACATTAAAAAAAATCCTATAATATGATATGTTTTTTTTATCATCGATGGATCTTTCGTGATTAAGACAACCAAATAATCCAATTATATGCAAATAGGAATTTAATAGATAGTAGTCGGTAAAGAGGTAATGGTACCACTCTTTGTTAACCAATGTTTATGACTATTTAATGAGAACCTGCATCCTGCCTTTTCTTCTTTAAATGATATCGGTCATTAATACTAGAATACGGGCACTTACGGTTCTCTATAACGTCCAGAGCAATTGTTTTGGAATATTTGTACGATTTTAATTCTTATGTATCATTTAGGGAGTTGCCCAATTGGGCAATGCCGGAGCCAGCTTTATGAGACAAACGTCGATAAGACTAAAAACCGAGAAAAAACAAGGTTTTCATACTTTCATTATTTTAATCATAACTATTTTTAACTATTGTTTACACTAACTATCTCATCCTTTGATTTTGTTTCCTACTTCATGACCTAGGCTTTTTGAGAATACTATTCTCATCTCATTCTAACTAAACTAGCGATAGCTTTGTGTAGCGCAAAAGCCTCCATCTGAACATCTGAAAGAGTTCTTCACAATAACATCTTTGAAAAAGAAAATTGATATTGTGCCTTCTGACATATCTTGGGGCAAAAACATTTGAAAATCATTTTTTCTAATTTTGTTAGAAATGAAGTAGGTGCAATTGCGGGTGTGGGCAATTACTCCCCTGTACCGCCGCTCTTAGAGGGATACAGAGGTTTCCAAGTTGATATGGTGGTAAACATATTTTATTTTGCACATTGTTTATTCCTCAAGAACATTGTGATTTCTTTATGTACAAATATTCAGAACCAGAAATATAGTTTATCATCATTGATTGTAATTAAAATCATGCCTTTTAGAAAGTTAAGCAATGCCATCATAGTATGTCTTTCCAAATGTGAAAAGGGTGTTTGCCAGTATCTTGTTCTACATTGTGTACCACATGCCTCAATTGAGAAAATATCAGTGACATTTTAACGATTTATTTTGACCTACAATGATAAGAGAATAAATAAAAAGCCAGGGTAGGTGTACAGTTGTGAATGCATGGTACTTTAATTTTCTGACCATACAGTTTGCTCGCAGATAAATGCTGCCTTTACATTACAAAATGTTTCATCCATTTGAGACAAAGCAGTATTCAAACGGATACAATTTTGAGCTGGATCGTTTGGTGGCGTTGTCCATGAAACCACTGACCCATCTGTCCATGTATAAATATCTGTATCATTATAATCTCTTCCGCCTATTAGAAAACTATTTAATGACGATACTGAAATAAAAAAAAAACAATATTTTGGGTTCAAAAGTGGATTTAGCGGTTTATCTAAACAAAAACTACTACAAAAATCGGAGAAATATTAGTATCTATACAGAAACCTCCTTTATAATTACCATATCGACTCACAATGGGATGTACCTGTTCATTATATAGATCATGAATGGAGAATGTAGTAACCTGCATAAAACTCTAATGAAACATCAATTTTAATCAGATGGAGAAGGCGATGAACATGTATAAAAAAAATATAAAAGATACAACAAACAATTTTTATGAATCGTATATAACTGCACATTTATAACTCACCAGCAGTCACAATTGTCATAGCAAATTCTTTCCTTTCAACAGAATCCATTTTAAAGAGATGAGCTCCCTCTTGTTCACATGCGGAGTTAGCATCATCAAAATTTTTCTTTTGTGTGAATACTTTAATACATGAAGTTGTGGACGAATCGTAGACATATTCAATGTGTCGTGCACACACTATATCTAAATACATAAAATATATATAATTATACCACACATGAGCTTGGGATTGAAAGATAACATTTATTTTCGTCAAATGACCACCCTTTTTCAACTCATGCTTCAATTCATTTATCCCGGAAACGTAGACTATTCTGAATTACGGACGAATTTCATGAAATATTATGTTATACGAGTAAGTATTGTACGGTAATTGTCAGCTATAATTATGGTACACCGGAGGTATCTTTAACTATATTTAAAGTTTAATTTTCGTAATGAGTGCTAGCTTCAAACATTCTATTTCCAGTTTTCAGAAAACTATTTGAAGACAACGAAAGGTAAAGCACTTTAGCATTCCAGGACAAGCGCAATATCACGTCTTTTACCATATGAAATCAAAGGAAAGCGTTTAAATTCGTATAATATGTTCACATACATACGGTTGAACAATCTTAAAGATGACATCGTAGGTAAAAGTTATCGATGTGTAAGATATTTAAATTTGACCTAAGGTAAAATCCATTGTGGTCTGGTTTAAGTGGCTGCACGTTTATTTGCACTGATTGTTATGCATTACGAAATTAAGAAACTGTTAGTAGTGTTTTATATCGTTTCATAAAAAAAAAACAAATTTTCTCGCCCTACATTCGAATATTTGAAAATCACATCAACATAGGAAGGTTACTTTAAGAGATAATTTGAACGGAAGGACAAGACATGAAAGACATGAACGTATCGAGATCACCAGTTGTGTTATGCTTTTTGTATCGCTTATATGATGTTGAGAGTAAACATCCTTTGCAGAAAGTCAGGGGTATAGATTTCTTGTTGATAAGCCTGTTCATGGTAAATATTCTGAATTATTAAAAGGTATTGACTTGATATAGACTAAATCTATATCAGATGATCTACAAACGTGATCAGAGTCATATATTGTAAAGATATTTTTTGTTTGCATTAAATATAAAAATAAAGTATGATAATATTGATTTTTTTTTACTTTACGAAACCAAAATCTCGTTCAAATTGAACATGGAAAAATCAAGAGTAAAAGGGATGTAGTAGTGGTCTTCTCCGAAGAGAGGTACCATCAGGTGTTTCGAAAAGAGGAAGCACGCTGACACCCACCACTACTAAATGAGTTAACATCATAAGATACAATCAGATCAATGCCTGACCAAAATAAGCCAATATGAAAGAAACAGATTCGTCATATTTGTGGAGGAGTTCGCTAAAAACTATATAAATTTGCTAACCTGGACAGTCAGGTTGAAAACATATCATTCCTTGTAGAATAGGTCCAGGACACCTTCCACCATAAACTGGTTCTGGATTTTCACATGCTCTTAGTCTCACTCGACTTCCTACTCCACAGGAAACGCTGCAAGTTGTGTAGTTAGACCACGGTGCCCAATTACCGGTATCTGGAAAGGCGACATAAAGTAACAAGGGGTACAGAAAATTGCGAAAGAGTAATTTTTGATCAAGTCGAGAGGATTGATTGGAGAGTTAACTAAAGTTAAATGTTACGATACAAGTTTGACATCGATTTCAATCGAACGTTACCAATTCCGAGAACGTGTTCTTTCTTTAACGTGTGACGTGTGAATAACAAAAAAAAATAAACAGGACAGATTTATTGTTTCATTCGAGGTTGAAGGGGTAGATACAATTCAAAAAAAGTATGCTTAAATGTCCGTCGTATCAAAAATTTAAATGTATATTTACCTTGTTTTCCATAATATACAATGTCATCACGAGCTGCTCCGAAATCAGAACTATTAAATATTTGAGAATACAAAGCGCAGTTGTTAAGTGAGTTTTCATATGATAAAGAAACGCATGTAGTCGATTGTAAGCAGAGTTGTAAACAATAATTTATGTAATTCGCATTGTATTGACTTTCAGTTCCAGTTAATTGAATAGTCCTATTGTCGTATGGTAGCTTAATAAAAAAAGAACCTTCGCTCGCAACTGCATATGGTAAAAACTGGAGATAAAGGAGAAAAAAGGATAACATTGTATCTCCGTCCATTTTCCTTTAATGGCTGAGCTGTGACGGGAGTCCAGGTAAAAGATAAGGCATTAGTCACGATATTGATGTACTGGTATTTGTCTAATGATACTTTCATTAATTGCTTGCTTCATTAATTATTAAAATTGTTTGTTCAGACTGCTTGCTAGTGAAGATGATATACGTATTCAATACATAGCGCATTTATTTAATGTTCTTGAATGTTTCAGGCAACTTAAAGGGGTGGTATAATTTTTTGGAAGGTTGGAATAGGTTTCCTTATTTTTTAGTGTCAAATTAAGCAAACTAATTGTATTCTTAATCATATCATTATGTTCTTATTGCATATACTTTAGAGTTTTAACCAATCATAACTGTCCATGTATGTACAGTCTGGATAAATAATAAAAGACTTTTTGACCTTTCTTGATCAGTCACTCATTGGAATTCTGCTGGTAATTCTCTTCTAATTTAGATAATTATAGATTAATTATGGACATGTGAGACAAACTGGTATTTTTCCATGTCATTAGAACACCTCTACTTTCTATTCATATAACTATTTGCATTTTCATTTTCTTAAATGAAAACAAGGGAACCCATCTTTACATTTATGACAACTATGAAACAAAATCTAGATAAACGTGTCCCTAACATTATCTTATTATTATTGTTATCTTTGTTGAAGAAAATATCAGGCCAGTCACCATAGCCACCACCTTCACATAAGAATCTGCTGAATTTGCAGTATATAATATATATCGTGTAGTTAATTCCTAGAACGTAAAAAATATCTTAAAGGTTTACGTAAACATTCTGGAAGTCTCTATATTTTCGGTTACTGATTTAAACTAAACGACGCCATATTATAAAGAAATATGTCCCCTGCCTTTTCTGAAGGTTTCAAAGAAGAATATCGAGCTGTTGTTGCCCACCATCAAACTAGTTTCTTGGTTATTTACACTCTTTTTTAATATCAACCCCTTTAAAACAAATTTAGGTCTATTTTCCACAAAAAAAAATTTGGATATGGAAAATGACTGTACATTGAAATGCTTTCTACTTATTGAATTCGAATATTCAAGCGTAATTAAACTTGGTTTTTATTTGAATTCAAGTATATACAAACATCTTATAATGTACAAATATCATATAATTAGACTTAAAGATTTTCCGTTTCTACCCCATGTAATAAAGAAGGCATATCTGAATCTGTGTGTTTTAGAGAGAGCAACTGTCTAGAGAAGTCCTGTATGTGGAGTTAACCTAAGGAAGACATGTATATTTGAGGCATAGCCAGAACAGGTGGAAACTTAATATGCTTCACAATTGTATTTTATTCTGATTGGTAAAGAGAAGTTACCAAATAAATAAATAATTATCTAAACAATGTGCACGTTGATAGAATTCAATGTTATATATAGTGTACATCACCCAAGACTACAGAATGTTTGGGTTTTGACAGGTGAAAAGTCCAATCCTGGATATGTGTCTTTCAAGTCATTTTACTGTTTGTATCATTTTTAAAAATCATTTCCTGTCAATATGATTTTAACAACGGTAAACTCTATATACAATCCGATGTCTCTTACTATTTGAATAGAACGAAGCGATGAAGGGCACGATAATTTCAGTTCATGAAAATACAATAGGATATGCGATTCATTTTTGATTACAGACAAACCAAACGTTATATTTTTATTAGTAGTAGTAATGATACAAGTACTATGATCATAAGCTCAGGGAAATGAACACTATGAATATTAGACGTAACAGACACACACCTCTGTCGGAGACCAGAAGTATATCACAATTACAGTTGTTTGTTAATATGCTTATACTCTAAATTGTGAAATAATTCAGATCGATTATTTATTACATAGATTGCACCGTCGGTATTTGGTATTATTTATAATCTCGTAGTAGGAAAGTCAAAACAGGTTATCTCCCCCCTATCGCCATTTTGTTTCCAAAATCAGATGCCTCATTGGGGAGCACTAATTCAAGATTCGAAAGAATAGGATTTATTTTCAGATAAATATACAGTTTATGATAATAAACAACAATTACATTATATGTTTATGAAGGTCTCTTATAACAAAGGATTTTCTATTAAGATATATATATATATTTCGAACAATATAAACTGTTCTGATCTTGTGTTACCTGCAAGGGATACATAACGCTTACAGCGTTGGTAACAAAAAATAACAAATGAGTTAAACAATACAACTTTAATCAATTTGAAACTATTAAGTAGTCAGAATGTACCGGAACAAATGTTATTTTTCACTTTTTATCTGGGGGTGGGGGAGAAAAGTCTCCGACCCGACTTCTCTTTTTTTCCTTTCAGTGATCAGAGGGTCTGGCATGGAAAAGGAATTTAGTCACTGCAAGGCGTTGTCCGTCCGCATGAGCCCATAAGAGCAGAAAAGTACAACTTCATTACATTTCAAATTTTATACATCATATTCAGAACAGTAACGAGGATATATCTATATCAAATAAACGATATATTTAGCGGATTTTATGTTTATAATTCTAAATTGCTAAGCAAAATTTCTTTTTTGTCAAAACACACACACACACACACACACCTCACTGATTTTCAACATATTCCAACAAAACTTACTCGGGTAACGTAATGTAAACATTATATAACTATTGTAGTCTGAAAATATCAATATCGGCAAGTCTTGCTTTCATCACATAGACAGAAAACCGTGTCAGTATTATCTTTCTCAACCTATTGAGTTTTACGAACATCAGATTTTAAAACATAATAGTGGTGCTCAAGGACGAAAGTTACCTCTGTCAGCTGATAAAGTTTAAAGTTTATAAGTAGGCGAATACATGTCACACTATAAGTTGCCTTCTTCCGAGAAGCCATAGAGTAGCTTTCAGCACAAAGAGTACTAATACGGTACTATAATATACCCATATATGGACTTACATCGATAATTCATTTGTTTCATGTTTAGTCACGAAATTCAACCTTCTATAACTTTTTCCAGAAATCTCGTCGAAAAGTTTATTACACAAAATAGTTGCATAAAATTTTTTAATGGAGTCCATATAACTTGATGGAAAGAAACCTTAGTCATCAAGGATTTTTATTATAATCCTGCCTTAAAGCCAGAATACAAATAAATTTTAAATTCTAAATAGTAATTACTCCTATGAACCTAAAAATACCTATTTACACGTAATAAAACCTGTATGTCCCACGGTTTTGCTCATTCTAAAAGATAGCTTGCCAGGCAACTTCCAGCTGTCAGAAATGATTACAAAATCTTTTTACGCACAAGGGCAATAACTCTGAAACTTCATGTGATTACTACCAATTTCGAACTCGACCGAGATCTCATCAATATATAAATTTACATGCATACCAAGGTTCATCAAGATCATATGTGAACGGACGGACAGATAGGTGCGACTGCAATATACGTCCACATTTCCAAGTGGGTGTATAAAAGTGATTAAGATTTAAAGTAGAGTTACATCTTCATCATATCTAGATATAACAAACTCTGCCTAATACCTTTTAAATCATTAAGCACTTTTTGGGTTTGAAAGTCGTTTGATATCCCTCGATAAGCTTAAAATATGTGATTTATTTCCTTTGTGTGTGTTACATATTAGCTTTTAATAGTATCAGTAAATCCAATAGTCCATGTGTGCTGTGGTCATTTTATTTTTATCATTCCGAAAATTGTTAACCCTAGACCAATATGTATTTATGCCAGCTTTTTGGTTAGATATATATTAACATACAACTCAAAACATGAAATTAAACAACCAACTCGACAACACTGTAAAATGCGTATAATTATTATTTCTTAATAGTTAGCTTTAATATCACTTCATTATAATGACAATTCTTAAGGAACATTGAATTGATAAATAAAAATACTGACTGTCACAATAATATACGTATAACGTGAGTGTAATTTATTGCTAAAAGTCATTGAAACAACATAAGGATATGGCCCATATTGTGTTCCATAAAATTTTTCTGCTGACTGACACGGAATCTGCTAGTTTGTCACGTGACTTTGTTCACCGGAAATTCCAGCAGACGACACTTGGAATTCTGATTACCGCTTGGGATTATAAGGAAAAATTTGGCCGATAAAAAAAATTGTGACGTTTGGTAATAACTGAAATCCGCCATTTTGTATTTGTCAAAGTATACATTAATACACTTTACCTTGCATGAAACTACTGGATTCATTCTACTAGCTGACATTGTAGAGATAACCCATGTTTATCGCACATGTAAATTATAATTTTCCAGAGATGCACGAAAAATAAGTTAGAACGAAATTAAATTACTTGATTGTATATTTTTGTGCGTATAGAAATATAGAAGTTATTATTATCATTTATTATATTATTAGTTGGTATTATGCTTCAACAGTTGACACATTCCTGGCTTATTTCAACAATTTTCTATACACCAACTTTACAGAAAGTATAATACATGTAAATATTGCTATATGCTACTCTAGTTATAACTGTGCAAGAAAGAAGGCAAGGCCGTATAGCATGGAAAGTGTTTACTATGATCTCGGTCGATTGTTATCTAGCTGTAGGCAACGTGATTGCTAGTAAGGTTCTGTTACATTCAAATTTGTCCAAAATAACTTTTTACGCTAAACAATTTCAAAGGTATGTTACCTCTTAGGATGACCGAAAATTTGAAAGTTGTAAACTTGGTTATTATTTTGTGTCATAACATACAACAACTCTTTCTATAATCCAATAAATCCATAAAGCTAAGTAATAATTTATTAAACTAAGTAAGTTTGAAAGAAGCTTCTATTTCTGTTTCAATAATTACTTAAGATAAATGGATATATCGTCTTATATAGGGATTCTTTTCTTTAGTCAAGGCATCTGGTAAGTCCAGCTGATGAATATATACACTTGTTGACCAAGTTTGAGACTTCAAACTTTATGTCCTTTCTAAGAGGAAGTATTCATTGAATAATCTAGGTAGATCTCCCATTCAATTAAACAGTTAGTTCACAAAAGAAGTAGAACGTGGATGTACAATAAGTTTCATCCATTTCCCAAGAATTTCTGTCTAATCTGACACAATCTTGATTTGAAGCAGATGGTGGATTCCCTATCCAGGATACAGTCGTACCATCATAGATCCATTTAAATACATTAGTCCCGTCCGTATCTCTTGCTCCGATGAAATAGCTTCCAAACGACGATCCTGAAAGATCATATTACCATATCATTATAAATGATCTCTTTTTACATCATGTTTATCACAAGATTGTTTGTTAATCTTATCTAAATCTTTGCGTGAATAAATCATATAAATTTTGAAAGGAAAAACTTTTACTGATGATCTCAATAAAAGAAATATCAGCATCCAACTAGCAATTAAAGAATAGTTTCCTTATTTTCTAGTTGTTAAATTAGGCAAACTATTTGAATAATTGGTGTTTCTAATGAATTATCATGTATTCTTAATCATATCATTATGTTCTTATTGCATATAATTAAGAGTTTTAACCAATCATAAATGTCCATGTATGTACAGTCTGGATAAACAAAAAAAGGCTTTTTGACCTTTCTTGATAGGTCACTTATTGGAATCCTGCTGGTTATTCTCTTCTAATTTAGCTAAATATGAATTAATCATAGACATTTGAGATAAACTGGTATTTTTCCAAGTCATTAGAACACCTCTACTTTCTATTCATATAAGTATTGGCTTTTTCATTTTCATAAATGAATATAAGGGAACCCATCTTTAACAGTTTAAAAATGTTAACACATTACGAATATGTATTTTCACACAAATATATGATATATTACTTGCTGAAAATTGCACAGAATACAAACAATTTCAGAATGCGCACATATCTACATAGTTATAAATGCAAAGGTCTCAATGCAAATCAAGCGATTTCCTCGTAAATATATTCGACACATATTTCGAACCCTTGGACTGCCATGGAGTTTCACGAGATCATATAACAAATCTGTCAAGACATGGATATCTCTGGGTCTGGGAATGATCTCAAAATTATCAGAAGTTATGAACATTACCTTCGTCCTGAATAATTCCCCTGGCAACTTGTAATTTATCATTTGAATCCATTTTGAAAAGAGATCCTCCATCACTCTCACATTTCAATAGAGCGCTGGTAAAGTTTTTCTGTTGCATAAATAACTTGATACAAATGAAAGTGACTGCATGGTAAGTATAACTTTTAGAATCACAAACTGCTTCTGAAATTATAAATTTATATTAATACATGAAGGAACCATTGATAAGTCGAATACGTAACATAACTGGCGAAAATTCTGTTTGAATTCTGGAAGTAAAATCTGAAACGAATTTGTTTTTATTATTAACAAACATGAAAACAAAGGTCGCATAGAGGTTACCACTTTGAAGTAAGCTGTCATTCTGGTTTCAAACTATACCGACCCAGTTCGGTTAAGTAGGGGCATACAATGCCGTGAACGAAAATGAATAGTGAGTTATGGTTTTTGTTATTGGGAGATACTCATAGTCAAACTTCTTGACAAACATAAAGTTTCCCTAATTGTTAATTTTTATCATTGTAAAAGCTAAATAATATTACCCAAACAAGATAGTGTATTACATGGCTGAACTTCGGCACTGCTTCCAGGACAGCTTGCTCCACCACTACTAGGTGTTGGATTATCACACAGTCTAGTTCGAGTTCGAGTTCCTCCATCACACGTTATAGAACAACTGGAATAACCTGACCAAGATCCCCAGCCCCCATTCACTATGGATAAAAACAACACAATTTTCATTTTAATTAACTTAAAATCTTGTTGAGACTACAGTTTATTAGAGTTTGATTATGTAATGTTTGAACTGCTCTATCTCTTGTTGAATGTTAGTGTTAAGTATAAATTTATAAATGCAATCTTAAACCAACACACTATTTAAAGCTGATACAATTGGAGTAAAACGATCACAGTATAATTATTGATGTACTCCAGATTTAAGAAAATTATGCAGCTATTTTGTTGCTTTTGTGGTAAAAGGGTACATAAACTTAGTTTTTAATTTTCAATCTGACATGAACGTTTGGATGTCTCTGAATCTGGGATGATACTAAAATGTGGGTTTAGGTTTTTGTCATTGAGGGACATCCATAGTCAAACTTGTTGACACACCTAAAGTCCGTTTAACTACGTTTGTTTTTCTAATTGTTAATGGTTTTGATTTAAAAAGCTAAATAATATTACCTAAACAAGGTTGTGTGTAACATGACAAAGCATGGACACTGTTTCCGGAACAGCTTGCTCCACCATTACTGGGTGTTGGATTATCACACAGTCTAGTTCTCGTTTGTGTTCCTCCATCACATGTCTGAGAACAACTGGAATAACCTGACCAAGTTCCCCAGCCCCCATCCACTATGGATAAAAAATAATAAAATAAAATCCCCTTTTTATCTCACTGTTAGCTGTGATATTGTTTAGACTACAATTTGTTATTATCTAATTGTCTTTATGAAGTATTTGTCTCTATTTCTTACCGTATGTCTGTAGTAATTCATATCATTATATTACATAGATTTTCTGATCTTTCTATTCGGCGACCTATTGGTTTGTCCTGTTGTCACACGGGACAGCGACCATTTGCGATCTTACAAAAATGTACCAATCACGATCAAACGCGAGGAAAACTAGTAAAAAGTCCGTAAAATAACCTTAAAATCAGTCAACCTCTAACGACCAGTTTCCGTCTTTATAAGACCACATGGTGCAGAAAAGTAGGACATAAAACTCCATTCATATCATTTTAACGACGAGTTATGCGGCCATATTTGGTTCTAACATTTTTGCAACGTCTTTGCAACGTGTGTACAGCCTTTTTTCCTACCGTTCAAGATGTTACAAGAGTGATAGTTTAGTGAAGGTTCAGATCTTACTCAACATATGTTAACAAAGTTTCATCCAAATATGATGAAAATTCTTTTTGAAGAGCTGCCATTGTATCATTAGCAATAACACCAAAACGTTTCATAGAAACCTTGTCAAATTCGGTCTGGTCAAAGATATAGATATAGATATAGATGCCAAGTTTCATTCTTATATCTATTGTGGCAACAAGGAGATACTATCGTCCATGGACGATAACTAAATAAGCGTTCATCGGAACGTCGTCAAATTCGACATTTGGTCTTAGTCTAGATCTCCACATCTGTTTATTTAATGCGATTTTTGCCCAAATCAGACGAAAACTGAAGTTTTTATCAAGCTAACAAAAAATGTTGACAGATATATACGTACAGAGATATATACATATTGATCTAGGATTAATCTTTATAGAACAGGTCATTTAGATATAATGTTACTCTCACTTCGAGAGTTCTAAGAGTTTATTTTTTCGATGGAAAATCGCCCGACCTCAATTTAGTAAAACCCCATAAGTATTCGATATCAAACAAACAATGTTCTCATCACCATCTAACACAATCATAGAAAAATACCGACCTGGACAAGGTGTACTCCCACATGGTGTAGTTTCAGAAGAACTTGCTGGACTGCCCTGACAGATAGCTCCTCCATTTGATGGAGTTGGATTATCACAGCTGCGTTGCCGTGTTTTGGAACCTCCACCACAAGTTACTGAACAAGTGGCATATGATCCCCAATTTCCCCATCCACCATCAACTACAAAGTGTATAAATTTAAAAAGAATGTATATGGGGTAGGCCTGAAGACTCCAGTAATCACACTAAAAATTGCTGGCACATTTTCAAATCAGAAAACTGATTTGAATCCTACAAAGCAATTTATAAAAGAGGTGCTTATGATAATTTGAATGGATATGTGTGTCTTCATAACTCCGACAAAGAAAGAATATCATACGTACCAGAACATGGTGCTGAATTACATTGTATTGTCTCTGTATGGTCTGTATTAATGTTTGGACAGTCCACTCCACCATTTGAAACTGGTGGATTATTACATTGTCTAGTTCTTGTTTGAGATCCTCCACCACACGTTAAAGAACAAGCTGAATAATCTGACCAACTTCCCCAAGCACCATCCACTGAAATATATCACATGTAATTAAATATATAATATAATAAAAGAAAATAAATATCTGAGAAGGGACAACAACCAATATTCTGTAAAGGAGATACAGTGTTATCTTATTTGTGGATATCTCGAAAAGGGAAATAACTCTATGAAACACTATCAATTTTTAAACCTTTATTATGTATGTACAACACACCATCCACAATGTGCTTGGACCGAAAAATAATACCAAAGAGGCCAGATTTGTTCTCTTGATATCTCCGTCGAAGAGTAGACATGAAATGAAATGAAATGAATGGAGTTTTACGTCCTACTTTTCTGCACCATGTGGGCTAATGCAGGGTGCAATGAGGGAAATTTTGCCAGGACAGCGGTTTTTCGATTTCCAACTGTCGAGGGATCTTTAACGTGCACAGCCTGTAGCACACGGGGCCTCGGTTTATTGTCCCATCCGAACGACTAGACGCTTTTTCCATGTCAGCCCCTCGTACCTGCATCACTGATAGGGGGAAACCGGGTTGAAAAATCCGAAGGTATTATCTCGACCTATGCCGGGATTGAACCCCGGCCCTTCAGGTTAGCGAGCAAGCGTCTAACTCACTGAGCCACCGCGGCTCCCATCGAAGAGTAGACAATCATATTATTTGGTTAAATACTTAAAAGTAATACAGGGTTAAATCTCTTCAGATGTATTTTTTGGATAAATCCATATTACAGTACTGAGATAGGGATTCCATGTCTATCACAATGCAAGTAAAACCAAATAAGCTATTTGAAAAAAGTAGGTGAAGATATCATCAATAGTTTGTGAGACTTGCAGACCACGAACTAATCAATCGAACTTCCATTAAAAAATACACATAAAAAACAACCTATCAATACATAGATTTATAAGACCTTACAATTTATCGATGGCAAACAGAACTTTTTAAAAAGATGCTTGTTTCCAAGGTTCTTCCGTCAAACACTGTAGATGTCGGTTATTGCAAGAATTATATATAGAATCTATACTGACAATGAAGCGGTAATATCCCAATGACCAAAAGTTCCTTGTGGTAGAGGGAAACGCGATAATTTGACAGACAAGGTAACATGCAACATACGCACACTGAAAACCACTTAAAATGGAAGTGGAAACCACTAGGATTTAAAAGATTTGGAGACCAGTGGGGGAAACCACTAGGGAGGACCTTGTAACGGGGGGAAACCACTACATGCCGGGGAAGTAACTCTCATATGGGGTCCTTGAGTCTCTTCTCTTTATTTGACCTCGAAATTGTCAGACATTTTCAACGAATATATAATTCATTGGCAAAGTTTGTTTGTATACACCTGAAGATGATTGCCATTTTGCGCTTGCGCATTAAGGGGTTTTCCTTTTTCCTTTTGATTATCAAGACAATTTTTTTGGGAACTGATTCATCGCCTGCTCACTCATTTTTCCTAATTCTGAATATAGTTTTTTGTCGCTTTTTGAAAATTAATAAAGTGTGGGAAGCATACTTATTTAACCAATGGTCGCTATTAAACACAAATATTGGTCATAGGACGAATGTATTCTATTCCTAACCCTATTCCTTTAACAAACCAAGTGGGACTACTAACGGGACAGCAAAATGCAACCCAAAATCTAAAATGACAATCTAGCAAAACATTGGTAGCAGGAGGTATATCAACCATAAGTAAGTAAATATTCCACAGTGAAAAGGGTATCAGATGTCTAGATTCGCCATATACACAACAAACTAGAATTGGGAGCGCGCAAACAAAAGAAATAGCGACTTGACAACGAATTTCCAAAGCCAAGGGACGTAACTGATGAAAATACATTTCTCCAATTTCAATAATCAAGGTGAGGGAACTGATCACAATAATTGTTATATTATGATGGTGTTTCAAACACCAGAATCCATGAGGAAGCATTTAATGTGGCATCAAGTGATCAGAAGATTAAGCATGCTCTGCCTGAAACCACACCTGTCAATGCTACTAAATACAAAAACCTAGTGTTATGTAAGATAATTGCCAGGCAATGTAATATACGCACACTGCCAGCTTTGATTTAAAAAAAATATTTGGGTGTACAATAACAATTACCAGAATGAAATATTCAACTTTCGGATATACACTTCTTTTGAACTTTTTAAGCCGATACTGAATAGTACCAAGTTTCATCAAAATCTGTTAAGAATTGGGCCTTCTAGAGAGTTTACAGGCTAAATTTTTCTGATTTTCAATAGGGTTCATACTTGGGTGATAACAAACACTCACACCAAGTTTCATCAAAATCTGTCAAGAATTGCGCCTTCTAGATTGTTTACGGGCTAAAAATTGAACGTGTTTTCAAGAACAAGGGCAATAACTCATACTAATTATTATAATTGGACCTTCTGAAGTGTTTACGAGCTAAAAATTGAACGGGCAATATTCATACTAGATATTTTTCAATTTTCCTGATTTTCGATAGAGTTTATCCTTCGGTGATTCCAAACACCCACACCAAAATCCGTCAAGAATTGTGCCTTCTAGAATGTTTACAAGCTAAGATTGAACGCGTTTTCAAGGACAAGAGCAATAACTCATTAGTTTTTTATCTTTCTTTCTGATTTTAAATAAGATTCATCCTTGGGTGATAGTAAATACTGAAAACAAGTTTAATCAAAATCCGTCAAGAATTGCGCCTTCTAGAGTGTTTACGAGCGTTTTAAGAACAAGGACAATACCTCATACTAAATATTTTTCAATTTATCTGATTTTCAATAGGGTTCATCCTTGGGTAATTACAAATATCCATACTAAGTTTCGTCGATATCAGACAAGAATTGTGCCTTGTAGAGTGTTTACGAGCAATTGTGGCCGCATGGACCGACTGACGGACGGATATGGGTGACGACAATTTCGTGTGGGCGTATAACAATTATAGAATCATATGGTGTCAACTTTAAAAACAGAATAGACAGATATTTTTTTTTTTTTTTTCGATTAGGTCAAGTTTTGAGTCGATGTGGTAAAAACCCTATATGTAGTAGCTGAGATATTTAATGCCATGAGCCAAGAAATCAGCGTAGAAAGAAAATTCTCTGGAGTATCGAAGCAATTGAGAGATATAGCTGGCTCATAAATGGAAAATTGATCGTGCTTATCGTAAAATTTCCCACTAAGTCTATGTTTATTTTGGTCATATTTAAGACGCAGAACCAAGTAAGATGCGTACATCTTTTACATTGGTTGTTTTTCTTGATAACTGTATAATCAAGACTGATCCTTTAATTCCTACTCTATCGCTAAATATGCAGGAATATTAATAAAAATTGATGGAGTTGCATCTGATAATATCATTTTGAACAATAAATTGCTTAATATGAAATATCCATAGGTATAAAAAAAAAAGAAAGAAAATCAATCATAAGGTCTTGAACTAATCACGTGGGAATGCAAGAATTTTTATGTATAAATTTTCTATCGCCCCGGTTGTTAGTTATCCTCTAGATTGAACTACAAACGAAGAAACTTAGTTAGATATGAAAATGTTCTGATTTTGGCATAAATCATAAAATATAGTCAGAAAACACTAACAGAGCCATAGATTACATGCAACACATGTGTTGAGAAGAATAGAAATGACACAATGAATAAGCTTCTGAGCGTAATTCTTTTGCAGTTTCCTCCTGTATATCCAAAGTGGTTTGAAATCTGCAAAGACTCGGAATCTATGCTAAGTAATCTTATAGACTTTTCTGGTCATAATATCGTCGATCTATCTATCTATATGAATCTGATGAACGTGCGACATTTACTTGTTATTATAAATTGAAGTACTTATTGGCTTTCTCAAATATATTTATTGAATAATTGTAGTCACTTTTCAATCCTTTTTAGAAACAGTTAATCGAACGTCTAAAGTATTGCAAAACAATCCGTGAATGATGTAGATTAGCTTTAAAGCGCAATTAGATGTTCCATTAGAGCAGTATTAAAACCCTCTACTAAGTTCAATAATCTTTATATTATCTTAAACTCAGTCACTCGAATCTAACTGTTGTAAAGTAAGGCTGTATTTAAGTACAACACGTTACAAATTCTAAAAGTGTTTTAAAAACAAGGAAAAAAGGAACCTGAATGTGTGTGAAATAAATTTGAATAACATCCTGATTCAACGTTTTAATTAAATGTAATTTAGGTTCCAAAGTCTCTTTTTAAACTTTATAAGGTTTGAAAATCTGTTTTTTAATTTGTTGTCTTGCTATATAACATGGCTTGAATAAGATATACAACGTTTTATACGCACACATGAAATGGGGGGGGGGGGGGGGGGGTTATTGCCCTTGTACTTGAAAATGCGTTCAATTTTTAGCATGTCAACACTCTAGAAGGGACAATTCTTGACGGCTTTTGACGAAACTTAGCTTGAGTGTTTGGTATCAACCAAGGATAAAACCTATTGAAAATCAGAAAAATCGAAAAATATTAAGTTAGAGTTATTGCCCTTGTTCTTGAAACGCGTTCAATTTTAAGCTCGTAAACACTCTAGAAGGCTCCATTACTGAGGGATTTTGTGTGCGTGTTGGTAATCACCCAAGGATGAACCGTATTGAAAATCAGAAGAATCGAAAAATACATAGTGTGAGTTATTGCCCTTGTTCTAGAAAATGCATTTAATTTATAGCTTGTAAACACTCTAGAAGGGACAATTCTTGATTTTCAATAGGGTTTAACCTTGGGTGATAACAAACACTCATGCTTAGGCAATACTGAATAATATTGAGTATGAGTTATTGTCCTTGTTTTTGAAAACGCTTTCAAATTTAGCTCTTAAACATTCAAAGGCACGATTCTTGTTGGATTTTGACAAAAATTGGTTTTATTATTCAGTCCCGCGCTAACATTCAAAATCAAAGCTGCCAGAGGGCGTATATTACCTTGCCTGGCAAGCTATCTTTAAAAAAAATGAACTAAAATGTGAAAAAAATATTGTAGTTCATTGATCTCTTCCGAATCTAATCGATGTAAATGTATATTGATTTTTAATGACTTATCGACCATCTTTTGTTATTATCAGGTCTCGTCTTTACCTAACGTTTTTTATAATCAGCTCAGATCTGATTAACTCGTTTTTTATTGCCAATATCCGCTTTAAAGTGGGATTTCGCTGTTCAATTCAGATTATGTCTAAGGTCCAGTGTGTTTCAATAATCACAATAAATCATTCATCTTCAGTAAGACAAAAAGTTGAATTTGATTTGAATTAAAGATAATTGTTGTATCTCCACGTAGCTGTATATGCAAGTGTGAAAATCCAACATAGGTGTATCTATAAGATTAAATGTAATATACTGAACAGATAAAGAGGGTGTCGCATTTTTAGATTATTTGGACAAAGTCGTCCACGATCAAAATTGTTATTTTTCTTTTTACATATGATATTTAGAATTTAAAAAGACCAGTTTATGACATTTCTTTATCTGTTCAGTATAAAATGAAGTTCGGAAAAGTGTTCAAAAATATAAAATGATTTGAATTTTATAATTCGCCTGTCGTCACAGTTGTATATAAAAGCTGTGGCTATAGCCCCCACATCGAGATTGCATCACGGTACTGGCATACAAAATTTAAAAAGAAGTCTCTTTTTTTTATTTCGGTCACGGGGAAAACTTAAATTGGTATGTGTCATTTCCCTTTTAATTTATATACTACCTGACAACCCAAAATATCTCACCTTGACATGATTGTGTATTACATGGAATACTCTCTGCAGCATGACCACTACATGATTGCCCATTATAAACTGGTGGTGGACTATCACACAATCTGAGCCTAGATTTCTGACCACCACCACAGCTTACTGAACAGGTTGAAAAAGGTGTCCAATTTCCCCACGTTCCATCAACTGAAATATAATAATATCTTGCGTGTTAATTCGTCACTCGTTTACAAACGGTATGATCAGTTCTGTGAATAGTTCCAGATGGTATCCAAAATATGATCTGCAATTACCAGACCAACAACTAACACAACGAGATCGAATAATGGAGGATTCAGTCATAGGTCTGCCTCCCAGGGAATGATCAACCATCTAACCTCACCACCGATAGATATATGATTGAGTCGAGGATACCAAACGAAACCATTTGCAAACTGAACCAGACAACGCACTGACAAAGTCTTACGAGACCATCAGTTCAACGCAATTAATTTTATACGCCCACATGAAATGGGGGTGTATATTGCCGTCACCCATGTCCGCCCGTCCACAATAAACACTCTACACGGCACAATTCTTGACAGATTTTGACTGGTATGGTTGTTTGTAATCACCCAAGGATAAACCATATTTAAAATCAGAAAGATCGGAAAATTATTAGTATGAGTAATTGCCCTTGTTCTTGAAAACGAGTTCAATTTTTAGTTCGTAAACACTCTAGAAGAAACAATTCTTTACGGATTTTAACGAAACTTGGCATGAGTGTTGGTTATCACCCATGGGTAAACCCTCGCCTGGCAAGCTATCTTGGTTTGCCATGTCTCATCTCCTCGTTAGGTTTCCTGGTAAACAACCCACAGGATGTCTTGGCTCCATCAACGGACCACCAGTACAAGATAATTGAAATCATCTACCGATTAATCTCCAAATCTGTCGTGAACAGATAACAGTTCTTACTTCTAGTAACTTTACAATTAAAATTAACTAATTAACTTTAATTCTTAGTTCAGATAGACAGATAACTAATGAAAAAGATTTTCATCTATTTCAGTCAAATCATTAAATTTTTATGCTTTTTTCTTTTTCAAAAAATACTAATCATGATATCTTTTGAAAATAGACTATTATCATGCCAAAGTCTAACAAAGACAACAGCATCGACCCTAATTAATCATATATATTTCATTTTTTTTCTTTCAGTTTTATTGAAAGCATTATTTCGTATTTTCTTTCTACTTTCTCATTCCTTTCTGTTTAGTTCTTTCACTTTCAGATCGATACCAGATAATCAAACCAAAGCAAATTTTATAATGATTATGAAGAGTTTTTGAAGAGATACGAGTTTCAGCGACATGTCGGGCGACCCAACCGGATTGAAGATTTCCCTACAAAACCAAAACTGACCCTACTACCAACTACCTAGTCTGCCTTATCATTTAGTTGGAAGTGGGCGTAAACTTTACATCTACCAACCAACCCACAATACTGACTTTTAATAAAAACAGTTGTCTTCAATTATCTATTACATTTTTTACTTTAAATGAAAATCTGATTGCAGGCCATCAACGGAAAACATATCCAAAAACCAAAAAAAAAACTATTGTTTCCCCTAATTTGTAAAAACCACCAATATAACGGAATGTCATTATTACAATCTGCATTCTTATACTGTTGTCAATTTTGCAAAGAAAATGAAACGTTATGAAATTCTATGGATAGCTAAAACTAATACATTCATCTGACCAATGTGAAGCTGAGAAAATAAATCGCTGCTAACTTTACAAAGTTTTTAGATTGATGAACTGAAAATCTGCAAGAGCAGCTTTAGCTGATAGCGGACGTTCACTTGTCGTCTACCCACCAACCATATATTGAAATGGATGAACAAATTAATTTCAATATATCAATAATGTTTCATTAAGGTTCTCAGTGGAACAAGTAAAGTTTGAAGAAGGCTGGAGACAGAAAGTATTCATTTCCTGTTATTCCTTTGTTTATTCGACCTTCTTGACGATGGCCTTACTTTCACAGATATACGATGAATGAAAAGATTAGAAAAATAAAAATACCGTTATTGAACGGTTGAAAACATGAAGATTTAAGACAAACTACAAACTATAAGCCGATTAAAATTAAATTGTTTTCCTTTTGTTGTTGTTTTGTTTTTATTTTCGAAACAAAAATTTATAATAAAAAACGATTTTTATAAATTAATACATGAAAATATTTATAAAATAAGTTATTGACTTTAATGCATGTACTTGATTAGTATCAGATCAGACAGATTAACCTGAATTTGATACAGGGAGTTTACTAAACGGTATGTTATGTTTAGAAAGTTTTCTGACGCAACCAATTTTCCACACGTACTGAGAATCATCAGTCAAACCACAAAACAACATTGTGTGTTGTGTGTTTTTTATGGGATAAAAACTGGATAAGCGTTTTGCTTTGTTTTCGTCGGATCGTAGCGTGCTTCGGGTTTAGAAAATTAGTGCGTTATATGCCATGTATTTTAATGGCGGTCATCTATGTTCGTGGTCTGATTCTGGTAACTGGGGCAGATGCGCTGTTGCGTATGCTTCAGAATAAGCAGCATAAAAAAATATACCTCTCAGCGGAGACACAAAAGAAATCGTTATACCAGTATGATGTATAAAGTTTATGAGCGTATTTTTAGCCCGATCGCAACGAATTTAAAACCGCTCAAAAAAATTCGCTCATGGGCCCGCTCGCGTCGACGGCAATTTTCTTAGCCCCTCGTGGTGTTGATATCATGTGATGTTCAAAATGGCCGACTCCAATCGACGGAACAAATCTGTCTGAGTTAAATGTAGCTATTAAGATTACTCTCTGTGTGCTCTTTCGAGAGAATGGAAGCAAATAAATCAACATTATCAAGTTTTAATTGTTATATTATCCTTTGAAAATAAATTGAAAATCAGACGAATCGAAAAATATTTACTATGAGTTATTGCCCTTGTTCTTGAATTGTTTGTGGACATAATAGAGAGCTGGTATCAAAAAATATTTACTATTGAGTTATTGCTCGTTCTTGAATTGTTTGTGGACACGATAGAGAGTTGGTTTCTTGATGGATTTTTCCAAACTTGGTATGAGTGTTTGTAATCAACCAAGAATGAACCCTATTGAAAATCAGAAGAATCGAAAAATATTTAGTATAAGTTATTCAAACATTAATCCCACTTGAATAAAAAAGCTGTAAACAAAACCCATAAAATATAAAAATTTCACTCTCAGAAACATTCATTAACTGATAACTCTTGTCAATCTCCAGGACAAATTTAGCTGCCAATACAAATGTGGGCGTATTACGATGGCGTCACTATTTGATTTTATTGATACACTTCAATTATGTTAAATCGTGAACGCGATAGAGGTGACCTGCCCTAAAAAGGTGAAAGACAGTATATGCAAAAATGGCGTTTGGAAAAAATCCAGGTTGAAGTTTGATATCTTTACCACTCTCAAACTAATGTTAGGACTGTAACTTTAGTAGATGCAACCAGAAAACACCCCTAATTGAAATGTTCTATTTTGATATTGATCGGTATCATGTCTGTTGTAATGTCAGATACTGCCATGCTTGTCGGTGCTTTTGGCCATTACTTACCATGCGAAGGCAAATGGCAGTATGTCACATTTTGTGATATTGCACAATTTAAACAGTTTAAATAGAAACGATAAGCCGAAATTCATTCTGAAGAGGGTTACTGGTACAATAGGCAAAGTGAGTAATTGGACAATTATAATAAATATGCTTTTTCTTTGCTTAGTGCATCCTTCTTAGCTATTTTAGATAATATATCACTCCTGAAAGAAAGTTAAATGTTAGCACTTTTAGTTGTAGAAAGTGTTATTGATAGGAATGAAATATATTTTAGAATTGTGTTGAGAGGATATAGAAGCCGTGTATTCAGTAGATAATTTAGCATACTTGTAAATCATACAGAAAACAAACAACATAGAGAACATTTTTTTTATCAAATACAATGCTGAAACAAAATGACTTTATGGTAATTTATGTCCATATTTTTCGGTAGATTCATTGATAAGATTCTCATAGTTTTTATCTACGTCAATACTGGTCCAAAATGTACGCCGATTTGTGGGCATCATTGGGCACAACTTTTCAACAAAATCAGTTTTCTTCTCAAGCGGTATTCCTCTGTTCTTCTGGCGCAGTCTCTTAGGGAACACCAACATTGCTCCTTTTTAGTGAAATCCAATTCAATGACCTCGGGATCATCATGGATCAATTTGTAGGACAAGTTATTATTATTTGGATAAACTTAATTCCAGATTTCTTCATCTTGGCTAGAGAATGGATAGGACAAACTAATATTTGACATCTGTAATTCTTCTACATTAGAAAACCTTGATACAGCATCTACAAAATGATCTAATACTTTGCCACCTGGTTGACGATTCATTTGTTGATGGATAGAGTCGGCAGATATAAATGTATGTCCTGGTTCAAAATGTTACAATGTTACGTCTTCAGGTAAAACATCTTTATTGTTGTTTGACATGTAGCTCATGCTGGAGACCCACTTCACATTGTTCTTCACTTCAATTTAGTGAAACTGATCTTCATACCTAATAAACTGTATATATTTATCATAGCTGCATTTTTGCAATTGATTTAAAATCATCATACATCATTTGATTGTGTTTTTGGAACTAAGTTTTTTTTATTCTGTCATCTATCCGGTCATCTGTTGTCGTTTCGTCTTTGTCAGGTTCATAATCCGGATCTTCATGGTCAGCATTAGAATTTTGAAATTCTTCATTATCATCTACACCATAATCATAGTCTCTATCTACCAGTATCTATTATCACCTCTTCCAAAAGATGATCTGGAGATCCTAGAAATATTCTTGTTGGTGTTGATGGTGCCACTATGTATGCTTACAAATTCTGAATTTTTCTTGAAGGCTCATTTTTGTGTTCTTGCACGGTGGAATTTGATACCTCAGGATATAATTCAAACAGACACTTCTGGTCCATTTCAGGTTCTGCCACATCATTTTGTTATTGTATTGTGCATCTTTATAAACAGATTGTTTTTAAGGGATAATTTAAAAATTTGCTTCCCTCTAGATAAGCTATCCAAGTTGTTAATATCCACCGTGTACAGCAGTATCTCAAACCTCTCTATA